CGCAGGCTGCAGCGGGATGTACTTGGAAAATTGTACCATAAAACCACATAGCGTTAATGTCACGTTAAAAAAATTATCGCCGTTAAAATGGCCTCGCGTTAACGCGTTAATAACGCGATAATTTTGACAGCACTAATATATATATATATATTTAAAAAATCGGCACTTTAAAGCAGCTTTTTTATTTTCCTAGAATAAACAGTTTGATCCCTTGACAGCATTAAGTCATCTAATGAAACCAGCAGGATTTTGTCACCAATTTCTCACCTCCTTATTTTGTTAAACTCTGCTGATGCATGTTAGCCGATGCAGATTGCACTTTAAGAGCTGTGATGCCAGAAAAAAACAGCTTTAGAATAACTTTTCTAGACGTCCTACAGCCTGTGTGTACAGTGTCTGTGTTAAAAAGCCTTCCATGAGCTTTTGATGATTGTTTTAGGAACAAAGGTGACCTCAGACAGTGTTTGTTAGAGATCCTTCAAAAAGATAAAGTGGTTATACAGCTGATATCAGGTATAAGATAAAAGCATTTTATTTTTCTTATTCAGCCTTTCATTTCTCTTTGTTCTTTTTCTGCTGAGTTTTATTCACAACTTGAAATAACAGCAGATATACTCTTCAAAGTGACTTCTAAAATCCCAACACTTCCTCTGTCTTTATCACCAACGCTTAACATGTTCACTTTGAGTTGTATTATTGTCCACATATTCATATCATATCATCTGCTTGCTTTGGTAATGCATTCGCAAATTGAAAAAAGATGAAACATTCCCAAACGCTAATCAGAAGCTTAAGCTGAAAATCGTCCATTTTCCATCACTCCTCACTCATTTCTTTGTTTCTTATGAACTTTAAACTGAAGCAAAGTTTCTGATGCAACATTGCTTTTTTTAAGAAAAAGCTCTCAATATTTTTTGTCCAATTAAATTTAATGAACTCTCATTTGTGTAAAAAGCCCTCGGTTCATTAATTTTGATCTGGGTTTTTAACTGTATTATCGCTCCCTGATTATCTGACCTGATGGAAGCCTTTTTTAATCCTTTTGCCTCAGGTCAAGGCCCGCTCAGCAGCACGAGAGGTGATCGCTACCTACTCTGTGGACGACATCTACATCGAGTTGGTGATTCAGCTGCCGCAGAACTACCCTCTGGGCTCCATCGCTGTGGAAAGTGGGAGACGTGTGGGCGTAGCCGTGCAGCAGTGGAGGAACTGGATGCTACAGCTGAGCACCTACCTCACACATCAGGTAGAAAAACAATCAATACATCCGCTTCAGGCACTAAACACTCAGGTGTTTTTAAGGTGCCTTGTGTTTTGATTTTCTGAGATTAGTGGTTGAAAGCAGAATTGTTTGTGTGGTTAGAATGGCAGTATAATGGAGGGCCTGGCTCTGTGGAAGAACAACGTCGATAAGCGCTTTGAGGGCATCGAGGACTGCATGATCTGCTTTTCTGTCATCCACGGCTCCAACTACTCCCTGCCTAAGAAGGCTTGCCGTACCTGCAAGAAGAAGTTCCACTCTGCCTGTTTGGTGAGGCAGATTTGATATGAGAGTATTAATGTAATTTAATCACCCGATTAGAGCTGGTGTTAATATTTCTTTCTTTCTTTTTCTGTAGTACAAATGGTTCACCTCCAGCAACAAGTCCACCTGCCCGCTCTGCAGAGAAACCTTCTTTTAGTACTCCACTCAATTCGGGATGAAAACAGCTATTACCGGAGGACTGGACCGATGTTTACAAGCAGAATATTATCTCAAAGCCAATCCAGAATGCTGTATAATTTCTTAGATTGAAGTAATTTCTGCAAAAATTTCAAGCTATTCCTATTTTTCCATCCCATGTGTCCATATTGAAATGTTGCTTATAGTTCTCTAACTGCATGTATATAGCAGTGCTTTTCTGTATCGCTCATGGGAAAGATCAATGCCCTCTTGTAAGCTTCATCTTCTTCAAATCCCCAACATGCATTGCAGAAAAAAATGATATCATGAAACTAATTTGATTTAGGAGATAAAATGATTTTGATGTGATGGAAAGGGTGAAAAGCTGATAGAAGCATTACTTCTGAGTCAGTTTTCCTTGTAAATTTCCTAATATTTAGGAGTGTAAAGTGATTGCCTGATTAGGGACATTTTATATTTCAGAGGCATGAAACAGAACTTTAAAAAAAAAAAAAATCCAATATCAGAGCCCAACACTGTGTGTCTTACCCTGTGCCTACATCCACCTGTACATGATGTTAAAGAAATGAAAATAAATCTTCCTGGATAATATTACTGGCAGAGAGGTCTAATTAATCACAAGTTTCTACATCTTATATTATATTTGAAGCTATAGTTTTTCCTCTAATTGGTTTTATATATAGAAATGTTACAACCTGAATAATGGTGTAGGAGATTGACCTGACAACCTGACGGTTGTCCAGAAGACAGTCGTTAACATCCTCCACAAGAAGGGAAAACTTGACATTACTTAAAAGCTGGTTGTTCTCAGCTATACACAAGGATTTCCATAGAAAGGTGAGTGGAAGGAAATTGTTATGGCAGAAAAGAAAATAAGTCGTTAAAAATAAACTTGGCAGGAATTGGGTGGAGTTGCACAGACAAACCAGGGAAAATGGCAGCAACTATTTTATCACTTATGTTAAGCCACTTCTGAAACGAAGAGAGCATCCGGGGGTATATTTCTGGGCTAAAGAGAAAGAGCAAAATATTTCTTGGCAGGCTGAAAATCTTGAGATAAAAACATGTGGCATTTTAATTTGGATATTGAGGTCAATCCAAGCTGCTAGAAGTCCAGTGTGATGTTTGCACCATCTGTGATGATTAGGGGAACCATGTCATCTGCTGAGTTGGTTAACTGGATTATGAAGTCTAAAGAACACCCCTTGTTTCCCTCTGCTGAAAAGCTTTATGAAGATACTGATTTCAATTCTACCTGCTGACGCTGCTGAAAGCAACTACTGAATATTGTATAGAGAGATGAAGGCTGCTGTTAAAACACCTGTACATCCTGAAAGCAGCTAATCCACAGACTGTTCCCTGCTATAATGATACATTTATGTTATCATACTATGGTTTCTTTTGCTTGAACCATAGCTTATTAGTGGTTCCTAGAATTTCTAAAAGTAGAATGGGAGGCAGATCTTTTAGTTATCAGGCTCCTCTCCTGTGGAACCATCTACCAGTTTTAGTCCGTGGGGCAAACACCCTGTCTACTTTTAAGGGTAGGCTTAAAGCGTTCCTTTTTGATAAAGCCTGTAGTTCGAGGGGCTCAGATTATTCTGAGCTATCTCTATAGTTATGCTGCTATGGGTTTAGACTGCTGGAG